ACTTCTACAAAATCCTTTGGTAAATCATTTTATAAATTATCATCTTTTGAAACATCTAGCATTGGAGTATCATGAATAGAATCAATTAAATCATCATCATTATTTAAAACAGTAGGTGTTTTTGTAAAATTCTCACCAAAAGAAACATGCATAGATTTTTCAATGACTAAGGTTCTTTTGTTATATATTCTATAAGCTTTGCTATGGTTAGAATATCCAACAAATATTCCTTCGTCACACTTAGAATTAAATTTTTCCAAGTTATCTTTTGTGTTTATAATAAAGCATTTACAACAAAAAACTTTAAAATAAGAAAGTTTAGGAATTTTATCATAAAACAACTCATAAGGTATTTCTTTAAAATAGGTCTTAATAAAATTTTATTTTGAACATAACATGCTGTAGAGACAGCTTCTGTCCAAAAATACTTTAGTAGGTTACTATCACACAACATGGTTCTAGCACATTCTTATAAAGTTCTATTCTTCCTTTCTACAACTCCATTTTGTGGAGCCGCTCGAGGAAAAGAAAAAGTGTGAAAAATATCACTTTTATCACAAAAATTTACAAAAAGTTTATTTTTAAATTCTCCTCCATGATCACTACGAATAGTAATAATAGAAAGAGACTTTTGTTTTTGAATTCTTTTGCAAAAGATAGAAAACTCATTAAAAGCATCAATTTTATGTTTAAGAAATATTACCCATGTAAATCTTGAAAAATCATCAACAAGTACAAATGCATATCTGCTTCCATTTAATGATGTAACTCTAGAAGGACCAAAAAGGTCAATATGAATTAATTCTAGTGGTTTACTTATAGAAATTACATCTTTAGATTTAAAAGATGATTTATGCATTTTTCCTTGTTGATATGCATCACAAAAATTATCTTTATAAGAAAGCTTAGGTAAATCTTTAACAGAATCATTCTTAGAAATTTTATAAATATGTTTAAAGTTAACATGACCAAAACGTTTATGCCATAAAATAGAATCATTAGAAGATGCAAGAAGGCAATGTTCATTAGAAATGTTATTCATAGATAAAACATATAGATTATTTTTTCTATGTCCTTTAAATAATATAGTAATCATATCAATATCATAAATTAAACAAGATTCTTTTTTAAAAATAATTTTAAAACCTTTATCACAAAGTTTACTTATACTAAGTAAATTATGTTTAAGACCATCAAGTAATAAAACATTATCAATAATAGGTTTATTTGGATTACCGACAATTCCAATACCGATGACCTTCTCTTTGTTGTTATCTCCAAAAGTGACGGTACCACCATTATTATTTTAACAAGATGACAGCAATTGTATATTATCGGTTATATGTTTAGAGCAACCGCTATCCAAAATCCACCTGTTTTTCTTAGGTACCTGAAATGATAAACATTTATAAATTTGGTACTCATGCTATATTGGGTCCATAGAATTAGCCTTTAGGAAACCAAACCCATGAAGAGTTTGATTTACCTAAATAATTCTTTGATAAACAAACATTTTTAATAAAATCAGAAATATAACACTTTTTCTTTAAAGGAGTTAATTCCTTAGGAATCCAAATAGATAAGTAGTATTGAATCTTTTGGTGAAGAGATTGGGTGCAATTTGCAAGGACTTGCAAATTGGTCAGGTTTAATGTTTTGATTTTGTAAGTTTTTTCAAAATCATAGTGGAACTCTCAAGCGGGATTTGCTTGGGGACTGGATGTACACCTGAGAGGTAAAACCAGTATAAAATTCTGTATTTGTGATTGTTATTTTCTATGATTGTGCTATTTCTTTGCAAATTATAATCTTTTTTGCATTAATTTTTAAAAAACACTATTCACCCCCCTCTAGTGTTTTATTGTGATTAGATCAGATCCTACATTTGGTATCAGAGTAAGGTTGAAGAAATGACATCAACGTCGGATTCAACTTTAAAATTTAAGGACATTCTACAAATCGTCCACCAATGTTCGATGGACTAAACTACAATTATTAGAAGTATCGGATAAGGATTTATCTCCAATCAATTGGCTATGAACTTTGGAACTTTGTGAAAACAAAATATGAGAAGCCAACCACTCCTTTCACGGAATGGACTACATCTCAAAGGAACAATGCAAATTAGGATTCTAAACCAATGAATGCATTATTTTGTGCTCTTGACAAGAATAAGTTCAATAGGGTGTCAACGGTCACATCCGCATATGATATTTGACACACACTCGTTGTAACTCATAAAGGTACAAGTAAGGTTAAAGAATCTAAAATTTTTATTTTTGCACATAGATTCGAATTATTCAGAATGAAGGAAAGCGAGACCATTAGAGAGATGTTTACAAGATTCACCGATATCACAAATTCTCTCATCGATCTTAGAAAAGAATTCACTCAAGTGGAGATGGTGCGGAAGATACTTTGTTCACTTACTCCACAATGGGAAAAAAAGTTACCGCTATAGAAACAAATGACTTATCAACTCTTAAAAGACAAAAGGTTTGTGTTTTCATATCAAAAAGAATCTCAAAAGACAAAAGGTTTGTGTTTTCATGTTAACAAAAATATTTCTAAGAAAACCATTTTCTGTAAAACCAACTTCTAAATTGCATGAACATAATGTTAAAGATAATATTTTATGTGAAAAAAATCAAAATATTTATCTATTTGGGTACCTAAAGATACTTGTTAAATGAAAGAGATGATTATATTTCAAGTTTTAAGAAAATTATTTGCAATTCAAAGAATTATACTTATGTTAATAAATGAAAACCAAATTTCAAGTGGATTTGGATTTCTAAGGGTTAATCCTTTTGAATATAATATAAAAGGGTACAAAAATGCTTAATGTTTTTATTAAGGTACCCGCTAGAATTATGTTTATTTCTTTTTGCTAATGATAAAGGGGGAGTTATATAAAAAATTTTAAATTTTTTACTAATGCTTTGATGCAGGGAGAGTAAAAGATTTTATTTAATGATTTTATGCAGGGGGATTAAAATTTTTATATCTTAATAACATATATTTATCATCATCAAAAATGAGGAGAATGTTAGGAATTTTGACCCCAAGATTAGTTTGTTTTGATGATAACAAATATTATATATTGTGTGTATTATGTGCTAACATTTATTTTACAGTATTAGAGCTATATCAACAATTATATTCAAAGAGATACTCAAGACATAGATGAGTTCAAGACAAAATAAAGCAAAGAAGAAGATATACCTTATTGTTAAAATGTAATTTTATATTTTCTTTGCTTAGAAATTTATACAAGCCTTGATCACTCACACACATGCACACACATAGTATTAGAACATACTAACACATGCTTAGTGTATTGGTTAACAATAGAAATTTTCTATGTTAGCCATTAGAGTTTATAGATATTGAGTGAGTCTTAAAATATTTTATTTATATCCCTTAGCAGTTCGAATCTGGAAATACTCAAAAGACCAAAGTTGTAGGTCTCTTCAATAGCTTTCCAACAAATCTTAAATCACCTCATTCTGAGGTCAGATGAGAAAGTTATAGACAAAATACTAAAAATAAAATTCCAGAATCTGTGAATTTATAGTGTAGTCGACTATTATGCCTTGTAGTCGACTACTAAGCAATTTTGTGACTTCACAGAGTCTGTTTAGACTCAGTGTAGTCGACTACTATGACTTGTAGTCGACTATAGATGTAGTTTTTCTAAATTTCAGGTTTTGAATAAGTGATTGTTTATAGCTGTTTTGTGGACGTTAATTGAGTTTAAAATTATGTCTTTTCAGAGGCTACAAATAGGTTTAAACATCAGAAAACAAGCACCAAGTTTTGTACTTGTAAGATTCACATATTGTGCAAATTAACTCTTTAAACTTTTAACTTTTCGATCTGTTTTTCCATAAAAGAGAGTTTCTGATGTTGCCTTTGTTTAATCATTCTTAGAGCTTGTTTAAGCAATATTCAGAGAGTTAAAAAGATTGATAAGCCACTGTTACACGTTCACATCCACATCAAGGTTTATAGGATTGGAATTGTACATTGCTTCAAAAGGTTCTCTCGGTTTATGAGAGGGGTTGATCTCTTGATTTAGAGGTCGGTTTACAATTAGTATGGTGTTGTCAATTGGGTTTGCAATTTGCATGGTCTTGCAAATTGGTTAGGCTTGCTTTTGATTTTGTAAGGTTTCAAAATCATAGTGGAAACTCTCAAGCGGGATTTACTTGGGGACTGGATATACATCGGGGAGGTGGAACCACTATACATGCTTGTGTTTGTGATGTTCACTTTCTGAGATTGCCATTCTTTCTTTGCAATTTATAATCTACTCATGCTTGTGTTTGTGATGTTCACTTTCTGAGATTGCCATTCTTTCTTTGCAATTTATAATCTACTTTGCAAACTCACCCTCTAATTCTTTCTTTGCAATTTATAATCTACTTTGCAAACTCACCCTCTAGTGTTTAAGTATAAAGCTTCCGCAAATTTTTATAAGAGCACACTCTATTCTTAAGGGTCGCGATCCTACACTTGGTATACATAAGCAAAATCAGACCCTACAGCCTTGTTTATCATTTGTTTGGGAGCCTATTTCAACAAATATCATCTTTCTTTTAGACAAGTTAGTATAAAGTTTACACCTACTTCTGAACTCTCAAGTCCTGCTATTATAACAGCATGAGGTCTGTGTTTAGTTTTGTTCTGTCTACTGATCTGAAATAAGGTTTCTTCAAGTTAATATCTCTAAATGAGCAGTTGAGCAATCTTGTTTCGAGAAACTTGAGTCGAAAGTTCAAGAGGTTGCCTTATTACTTTCCACTTTTACTGACTATAGAATTTGATGAGTTTATTAACTTTCTAGTTTATATTCCATTAACCTGCAAACAAATTGGCATTAGTTTGATGACGTACGAATGCAAATATCTGTCGAAGTCTCATTGACAGAAGTAAATTCCTTTGGATATTTCTTCTTTATAATTGATGTGATGCATAATTTCCTTTTGTTCTTTTAGGTATTGATGAATCATCCCTTGGTCTTAGGCCAAACATAAAGCCAATTATGAATCGAAAATTCCCTTCAAATTACAGACTAAGGACCAAATCAAGTGTCACTGTCAGAAATTCAGTAAACATTCCAAAACAATGGTACAATCTTGTAGCTGATCTCCCCCTGAAACCTCCACCGGCTCTTCATCCGCAGACTCACAAGCCTCTAAAACCTGAAGATCTATCTCCCCTTTTTCCTGATGAATTGATTGCACAAGAGATCACTGATGATCGATATATTGAGATCCCCGATGAAGTCATTGATATCTATGGACTTTGGCGGCCAACGCCATTACTAAGGTTTGTGATCTTATCCAATAATTGTAGAGTGTGTATATAATTTAGGATTTTTTTAATTTTTTTTGGCATATGTGTCCCTGATGGTGTTGTACTACTTATCAGTCCCATTATATTTTATTAGCACATACTCCCCTGGTCCCCTGACAATGTGTCTTTTTAGTTTTGAAAACTTCTGTGTGATCACCTTGTGATCAGAGTCACATATTTACCAGAAACAACACACATTGAGTTAAATACTGATGGGAGAATAACATCATTATAGGCACAGGGGCGTATTTACTAGTAAAATAGAAAATGGGTATTAAGTAGCTCAACTGTCATAATACAGGTATGCATGTGTAAATAGCTCTATAGTTTATAGGTTTTGTTTCGGATATACCTCTGCACTATCACCAAATTGAACTTACCACCCTGTAGTTCTATTGTTGCAGATTGGCTACCTGAGTGAAAATCTTTTGAACCTTTTCGGGGGGTCTATATGCAACAATAGGTTTTCACTCAGGGGTTCAGTTTGCAACAGTAGAACTTGTGTCTGTGTGCAACAATAGAACTTCAGATGTAGTAAGTTCAATTTAGCAATAGTACAGGGCGTCTGTCCGTGATTAACCCTAGTTTATTAGGACTGATCATATCTTTCTAATTGGAATTTAGAGCCAAGCGACTAGAGAAACTACTCGACACTCCTGCAAGAATCTACTACAAATACGAAGGGACAAGCCCCGCTGGATCTCATAAACCCAATACTGCAGTTCCACAGGCCTATTACAACGCTCGTCAAGGAGTTAAAAATGTGGTGACTGAAACTGGTGCTGGCCAATGGGGTAGCTCTTTGGCCTTCGCATCAAGTCTCTTTGGTCTCAATTGTGAAGTAAGCAGATAAGATATCTATCTACAAAAATTTCTGCTCATGAGATTTAAAATAATTTTATATCCAGGTATGGCAAGTTCGTGCATCATACGATCAGAAACCTTATAGGAAACTCATGATGCAAACTTGGGGAGCTAAAGTGCATCCATCACCATCAAATGTAACAGATTCTGGTAGGAAAATACTTGAAATTGATCCTTCAAGCCCGGGAAGTTTAGGAATGGCAATCTCTGAGGCTGTAGAGGTTGCAGTTAAAAATACTGATACCAAGTATTGTTTAGGGAGTGTTTTAAATCATGTACTTCTACACCAAACGATTATCGGCGAGGAGTGTTTAGAACAGTTGGAAGTTATTGGAGAGGTACCAGATGTTATTATTGGTTGTACTGGAGGTGGATCGAATTTTGGGGGGTTAACATTTCCGTTCATTAGAGAGAAAATGAAAGGAAACATTAATCCCGTCATTAGAGCTGTTGAGCCTTCAGCGTGTCCTTCACTTACTAAAGGTGTGTATGCTTATGATTATGGTGATACTGTGGGCATGACACCGTTGATGAAGATGCATACTCTTGGACATGATTTTGTTCCTGATCCAATTCATGCTGGTAAATAAAATCCTTCAAATTGAAAATTTTCATATATTTTCTTCTGAATGGGTTTTTCTATACAAAGTCGTTTGTTTGTGGGGATTAATGTAGGTGGCTTACGTTACCATGGAATGGCCCCGTTGATTTCTCATGTTTATGAGCTAGGTTTTATGGAAGCTCTTGCAATCCCTCAAACTGAATGTTTTCAAGGTATCTTGTTCAAACTTATGCTTATTATTTTTTATTTTTTATTTTTTTATGTTGGCAAAATTACCAATGTTTCTTAATGATAATTCACAGTATACGCTTTAGAAATAGTGCCATTTACCTTTACGTGGGAACTTACTAATGAATTTGAAAGCAATAACCAAGTTCCTATCTTGACTGATGATATTTATCTGGTTCTATGATATCATACAGCAGCACTGATCGTTATACTTAAAATGTGTTTTAAGTGGTGAATTACATGTACTATGGATATGAAGATAATCCTCGTTGCAGTTGCTCGAAGTTCTAATCTGTAATTTTGATGATTTGCAGCTGCCCTCCAATTTGCTCGTACAGAAGGTATAATACCAGCTCCAGAGCCAACTCATGCCATAGCTGCTGCAATTAGAGAAGCGCTGAACTGCAAAGAGACTGGGGAAGAAAAGGTCATTCTTATGGCTATGTGTGGCCATGGTCACTTTGATCTGGCTGCATATGATAAATACTTGCAAGGGAATATGATTGATCTATCGTTTTCTCTGGAGAAGGTAAAAGCATCACTGGCTTCGGTTCCCCATGTCACGCTCTAGAACTGTAAAAAGATTCAGCTACCGGAAGGAAAGATTTGTCATAATTTTTTTTAGCATGTTGAATGTTGTGACGGAAATATTTTCCATTGTTGCTAGCAGTCAAGAGCCATGTTATACTTCGACGAAACTATTAGCATGTTCATTCTGCCTTGCTTTACAGCAAAAAGATAAGAGTCGTCGAGCTTTACTCTGGCATTTTTAAACTACCATACAATGAACATACAATTCAAGTAAGTTGGCAATCTGATACAATCACTTGCCTGAGCACAAAATAAAGATCAGTCTTTTGTCTATAGCGAATGCGCAGAAGTCTGCAAAAGCAATATACATTCGTTTCACAGTGGTATTTCTCTCAAGTCATACATCATCAGATTTGCAGGCAGAGAAGTTTTTACACAATGCCAGTGGCTTGCAACAAAACAACAAATATCTATGACAATAACAAACAATCAGAGAACTGATGCATTGCGTGAATGCAGTGTCATTTTTTTGGGAATATAGTTGCCACATAATAGCCACATTTCCGCATGTACTGTTAGGAAATTAGCAACTAAAACTTTTATTATGGAAAGACTTACAAGTACAAGGAGAAAGAGGAACTCAGTATAGAATCATCCAAAATCTACACAGCAAATTAACAAAAGGACACGCACCTCTATAATAAAGTAGCATTTCAATAAACCTTCAATGTAAGAAAGTAGCATTTCAATAAACCTTCAATGTACACTCCTGTCCGCTAAACCACTAGAACTGTGGAAATAACAATTACCGACCAACCCAGGATTTGCTATCACCACAGAAAAAATAGGTGTTGAAGAGTGAAAGATCGACATCTGGGCTCATGCGAGTTCTGGAAACTGCTTCCTGTCAAGGGTTTAAACGCCAATTTATCTGCATGCATTACCATCACCGCCATCTACGAGGGACAGCATGATAACCGGTTCCAGTTACACGTGGTGCCTAAGTCAATCCATAATGGTTTGGAGCCTGGGTAGATCTATAAGGGTTTGGTGCCTAAGTCAATCCATAATGGTTTGGAGCCTGGGTAGATCTATAAGGGTTTGGTGCCTAAGTCAATCCATAAGGGTTTGGAGCCTGAGTCAAGTCGTGAGGGTTTGGTGCCTAAGTTGATCCATGAGAGCTTGGTGCCTGAGTTGATCCATAAGATTTTGGTGCCTGAGTCGAGCCATAAGGGTTTGGTGCCTGAGTCAAGCCATAAGGGTTGAGTGCCTGAGTCGACCCATAAGTGTTTGGTGCCTGAGTAGATCCATAATGATTTGGTGCCTAAACCGATCCATAAAGATTCGGTCCATAAGGTGCCTGAACTGATCCATACGGATTCAATCCATATCCATAGGGTGATGTTGCCTGAGCCGACCCATAGGGTGAAGCAGTCTGTGTCAACGCTCCGGCAACGTTTCCGCAGGTACTTGAGCTCCCAGAGCTGCTATATTAGCAGCAGCATCTCCAGGACCTCCTTGAGGAGCACCCTTTGAGTTATCATGGCCTGCAGCCACTCTGGCAGCATCATGGCTAGTATTAAGCATAATTAGCAGGACCTTCCCTAGCAGGTGCATCATATCCAGGACGAGTAGGGGCATTTCCAGCTGAACCACCACCAGACAGTGCACATCCCTGTTGTTATTAAGATATTAGTGCAGTACGAGTAAGAATTGGAATATGATGTATAGTTAAAAATAAAGAGGTAAAACAGAGAGCAACTTAACCTGATTGTGTTTGATTTACATCAGGTTTGTACTTCATAGATTTTAGATTTCAACATTATCCTTCAAGTTTTAAGGAAATGAAAAGTGACTCCACTCCACCTCCTTCTCGGCCTCCTAGTTACCATGCAAGAAAATTAAGGTTTTTTTAATAATATTTTTTATTTTATTTTATTTTTATTTTTATTTGTGGGCT